CGGACCGACGGCCGCGGGCAGCGAGCCCGGCAATGGGGGGATCGGATTCCCGACTACAGATGGTGGCGACGCGGGAGCTATGGTCCCGTAGGTTTTCCTCGGGCCTCTTCCGCTCACGCTATTCTCAGCACTCTGAGACGTGAAGCTTCATTACAATAAAGGCCGATGTCGTTCATGAAGGACGGCAGTTGGGACATGAGACGTCCTTGCTCCCAGCACATAAGTTAGTTATCTCAGTCATCTTTTCTCTCTTACGAGGAACTGTGTTACTTTGGGCACGTTATTTTGCTTCTCTAGGCCACCGTACTATCTGTTTCATATAATGCATGTTTTGAAGTGCTTACAACAGCACTTGAAAAAAGCAATTTGCTACATGCGTTTCAGGTAAATCAATGAGAAGTTTTAACTAGCTGCAGGAAATTGAATGGATGATAGTCTTTTTCCTGGTTAAGTTACAAAATCCGAAGCTCAAGGCGACTTAACCATTTTGGAGAGTTTGCTTAGCAGCAAAATACTAATAATACCACCGTTGCACCTGCCCTAACTTATGTGTTGTTGTTAGGTGTCATCGATAGCACCAACTCATAGCGACCCTATGCAGGAAGTCAATAAATAATACTGTTATTCACAGTGAAATCTCAGGTATTTGGGTATCATGTAATTAGATTTGCTTCCTGAAATTTGTTTCTTCGATATGAAGAGCAAGAACTGGGGTAACTCAAATTTGTCTTGTTTAAGTCTAAGAATCTGCTTTAAATGAAAACTTGTGATAAGTATTGATCTGGCAACTTGCCTCAAGTCTTAAAGGTAGACCTTTGGGGGTACGTTTGCTGGGAGGAGGGACATCATACGGTGGTAGTTTAGTATGTAAAGGGGACTTTAATGATTTAGACTTAAATTTGCATTTAGGCACTCCCCCCAATCCCCTTTCTTACGCACTTTCAAGGAGCTCTGGTAGCATAGCGTAGTGTAGTGGTTAACGAATCAGGCTGCTAACCTCAAGGTCGTCAGTTCTAAACTCCCAGCAGTTCCGGCGGACAAAGATGAGGCTTTCTGCTCCTGTAAAGACTTACAGGCTCAGAAACCCTGTGTAGGGTCACTCTGAGTCGGAACCGACTCCAAGGTACTTAAAAACAACAACATGCACTTTCAAGTACCCAATAAAGTGATTTTTTTTTTTTAGCATATTCACATTACCACCCAAAAAAGACATGCAGGAAGTACCCATTTTACAGCCACTCCCCATCTCCCCAGCCCCTGTGTCTGGATTTGCCTGATGTAAACATTGTCATGATGGAATCTTAAGTATGTGGCTTGTTGTTTTCTCTCTCCTTTGATTCCACATGATGTTTTTAAGGTTCAACTGTATTGGAGCATGGGTCAGTACTCCACTCCTTTTTATGGCTGTGTAATATTCCGTTATATGGATATACCTCTCTTTAACCTTTTGATAAACTGCCACACTTTCCAAAGCAGCTACGTGATTTTACAGTCTCACCAACCTCAGACAAGGCTTCCAATTTCTCCAGATCATTTCCAATAGTTGTTATTTTGCTTTTTTAATTATAGCCATCCTAGCATATGTGATATGGTGTTTTCTTGTGGATTTGGTTTGTAGTTCCCCTATGACTAGATCTTATTATGTATTTGTTAGCTATTTGTATGAGGGAGCTTTCAAAAATTCAGAAAAAAATTTCAGCATCTTTTCATTCCATTTTTTCCACAAATGTTTGCGAAGCCCCCTCCCATATCTCCTTTGGAGAAAATGTCTCTTCAAGTCTTTTGTTCACTTTTGAGGCATTTTGCTTTAAATGCATCACAATGAAGAATGTAAAAACATGAGGGTGCTTCAAAAAGCACCTGGAAAGATGGAATTAAAATAAAAGATAGTGAAAATTTTCCGTGAACTTTTAGAAGCACCCTCATAGATTCATTAGAAGATAAAGCTTGGTTGTGTTTATGGGTGGGGACAAAAGTGCTGTATCAAGAGAATTAGTGTATAAGTTCGAAGGCAGGAGCAAGATGATTTTTGCAAAAGGAAAAGAAATGCACACCAAGAAAGTAAAGAATTACAAGATGTCATAGATAAAGTAGTTTTTATAGTCTAAACTTTGTATGAAGGAAAAGCCCCAGAGGGATCATATATTTACTGGTTATCAGATTCACAAATGATAGAAAATAACTAAGGAACCACCTTAAAATAGGTCTGCTGTTAAGTTTCATCAGCAGATACTTTAGAAAACAGTATCTAAGAGACAAAACTAGAGAAAGAACCTGGGAATTCAGCCACTGAGGGGAGTTCCTCCTTGCTTAATTCTCAGTTCGTTTCTAAGTTGATTGGGAGAAAAAATGTTCCATTTGTTTTTCTTGATAAATGAATATCTACTTTGGGAACATTATAGTTATCTTACACTTGAATATTATGTCCACATTAGAATCAATGTGTATTATGAAATCATTATAGTAAGATGACTTTGAACTTAACACATCTTAGTTCTGTGCTCAAAAGATGAGTGCGGGTTTTTGTCTTAGAAACGTGTTGAGTTTTCTGAATTCTAGTGAAGAGTGTAGACAGGAGACTGAATATTGTTTTAGGTATCCATAGGTCAAACAGCCCATCTAAGTTAAATGATACAACAGGCAGCCCGCAGATTATGAATTAGTTGTGATTTATGGACAACTCCTACTTAGCCTTTTGTTGTTGTTAGTGCTGTTGTTAGAGTCTGTTCCAACTCATAGCAATATCGTATAGGGTTTCCAAGGGTCTGAATCTTTGTAAGAGCAGAAAGTCTCATCTTTCTCCTGCAGAGCAGCTGGTGGCTTGAACCATTGACCTCATTGGACAGTCAGCATGCTCCCCATGAACATAGTTATGCATACAAAAAATATGGAAATGAAACATCGATTTGGGGGGATGGAAGAGGGATTTTAGCTGTATGAGCCAACCCTTGTTCACAAATTATTCATTATTGCCACCTTCACTAAGGAGCTCTGGTATCATAGTCGTTACGAATTGGGCTGCAAACCTCAAGGTCAGCAGTTTGAAGCTACCACTTCCGCAGGAGAAAGATGAGGCTTTCTGCTCCTGTAAAAATGTACAGGGTTGCTGTGAGTTGGAAGCGACTCCATGGCACATCACCACCACCATCGCCTTCCTTTGCTTAAGGTTCACTTTTTTTAAATCGTTTAAAAAGCTTCAAGCCTTTTGTTGCACTAAAACAAAAACGCCCAATGCCATTCAGTCAATTCTGACTTACAGCCACTGTATACAGAGTTTTAGAGACTGTAAATCATTATAGGAGCAGACAGCCTCATTTTCTCCTGCAGAGTGGATGGTAGGTTTGAACTGGCTGCCGTGTGGTAAGCAGCTCAGTGCTTACCGTACAGCACTGCTAGGACTGAGGCTTAATAAGAACCATATTCACTTGTCCCTATTTACCTACAAATTCTTAAAGACATAAGAATGGATCTCCACACCAGGGATCTGCTTATAACAAAAGATAAGGGGTAGAAGGAAAGAATTTTTTCTGTTAACAGTTAAAAGGAACCCTTGTGGCACAATGGTTAAAGAGCTCTCTGCTAGCCCAGAGTCTGTCTATTGAACCCACCAGCCAGCTGCACTGAGGGAGAAACATGAAGCTGTCTACTTCTGTAAAGATTTACTCGTGGAAATTCTGGGGCACTTCTACTCTGCCCTGTAGGGTTGGTATGAGTAGAATCAACTTTAAGCTAATTTACCACTCAATTAAAGGTTTTTATGTTAAACTTTTTATATGATCTTAAAAATATATAAAAGTAATGCTATTAAGTTAATTTAGTGTGTGGCGCTATGGGCTAATGAGTCAGATTGCAAAGTGATTTGAACTGCAAGGTTGGTGGTTCAAGCTCGCCAGCTGCTCCTTGGAAACCCTACACAAGGTCCTTATTGGTCAGAATCGACTCGACAGCACTTTACAACAACAGCATTGAGCCAGAAAATAAAGTTGATTTAAGAAAAATGAATCAGTACTTTGTAAAGAGCTAAAAAAAAAGAAAATCCAATAATTTTCTAATAGTATCTTTAATTCATGAGTCTCGTAAGATATTGACTGTCTCTAAAAAATAGAAATATAAAATACACTTTGTTGGAGTACATTGACATGGAAAGAAAATAAGCACAGGGTAACTTTATGAATAGTTTTCAGTGTATTAAGTTTTGTATTGTTTGCTGGGTATTTCTCAGCTAGGCAAACTAATCCCAGACTTCTGATTCAAAGACTTCTTTTTTTAAAAAAAATAAATATTTTTTCATTATTTTTTTTGTTTTAATAATTGACATCTGTGTACAAATACTATGATTGAGTGAAAGTTTACAGGGAAGAAAATAAGCACAGGGTAACTTTATGAATAGTTTTCAGTGTATTAAGTTTTGTATTGTTTGCTGGGTATTTCTCAGCTAGGCAAACTAATCCCAGACTTCTGATTCAAAGACTTCTTTTTTTAAAAAAAAGAAATATTTTTTCATTATTTTTTTTGTTTTAATAATTGACACCTGTGTACAAATACTATTTGGGATAGGAAGATCAATGAGGAGCAGTCTGTAAGAAATGTAAAGGATTACCTCAGAAAATTTGCAAAGTGTCTCATTCTACATGTTCTCTCATGATTTTTATTTTATTTTAAAAAAGAAAAAGATTCTTGACATGCATTGATACTAGGACTAGACGTATATAGAAACCCACCAACTCTTAATGTTTTTCTTTAAAGATGTCTACATCTGAGTTTATAATTGTAAAAGTATGTAAATAAAATGTAGTAACAGAAGGATAATAGTCTACTAAACTGGAAAATTTAGGCTTGATGCCCATTGTTCAAGATTACTAACTTCAGGAGAGAATCCAAGTTGCAACCCAAACCTTGGAAATTTAAATGAACCTCTTAATTCTTGGGGCTTGTTTCTGTAAGTTGAAATGACCATTACCTTATTTATCATAGCTAACTTATCTTTCATTTTAACACAGCTGCAGAAAGATCTGGAAGAGGTAAAGGTGTTGCTGGAAAAGGCCACTCGAAAAAGAGTACGTGATGCCCTTACAGGTGAAAAAACCAAGATTGAGACAGAAATCAAGAACAAGATGCAGCAGAAGTCACAAGGGAAAACAGACACTGTTGAGAACGAGAAGCCAGCGGCTGTGGTTGCTCCCATTTCAATGGGATATACAGTGAAAATCAGTAATTATGGTATGACTTGCTCTCCTGTACCCAGTTTTCTGCCCCTGACCAACCTATTCCTCAGTAGTGACGCACTAACAAACTAATTTGTAAAAGAGTTTTTGAGTGTTTGTTTTTAGTGACCTAGAAGAGGTCCATCAGTTTACCTTCTTTTTTGAATATAATTATATTTTGTGCTGTAGTTGAGAATATACATATCAAAACATACACCAATTCAGTAATTTTTATATGTGCAATTCAGTGATGTTGATTACATTCTTTATATTATGCAGCCATTTTCAACCATACTTTTCAGAATTGCCCCTTAAACTTCCTAATTTTTCGAGTTGCTGTTGTCAGTTTAATCCTATATGCAGGTAGTCTCTGACTTAATGGTACCACTCCAGACGATTCTTACTGTAAGTAAGTTCTCATGTAAGTTTTTCTTTTTTATTGCCTTTTATTATTAATATCTGAATCCAGTTTACATTTGTGTTTGGTGGTTGGCATGAGAATAACATCAACAGATTACACACTGCAACACTGAATGTTGTACGATAGGGGGAGAAAGAGAAGATGCGTGCTATGGTTTGTTATGTATCAGGTTGAAGTCAGACACTACCTATAGATCTTAAAAGAACACAGTGCTTAAGACAGACATTCTGCACTGGTTAAACTAAACTACTGTTTGGTTTTAAGAAGACTTCTAAGGATATGAAGGGGCTTCAGAAAGTTTGTGGGAAACTTGAACTAAAAGATTATTGAATTTTTCCACCAACGTTTTGAAGCCTTCTTACGTATTTGATTTAAGATTTAAAGATCATTTCAGAGCAGTAGTTTAGGGATTCATCCAGCCTCCACTGTTAGTTCTTATTTAATAAAATGATCTAAAAGGAAAGGACACATTTTAGATGCTATCAACAAAGCAAGGTGATTAAAGTGCAAAGATGAGCATGAGCAATAGCAAGGAAGAAACATTCTGAAATATATCCAGTATTTGTGGACTTTTTTTTTCCATTCTGTTTTGTTTTTTACTTTGCCAAACAACCACCAAAGTTAATTGAGGAAAAGAATCTTAGTTAACTTTCAGAAATATTTTGAGCATCTAATAATGTGCCACTGTTGTGTTTTGACTTGTGGATATAAAAGATGATTAATATTCAGTTCCTACTGAATATTAGTATCCCATGTGACTGGTATAGCCATACAACTAATAGCCCATACAGTATAATGCTCCCCTTAGTAGATTGTATGCTTTTTCATTTTAGAGACAGTAAGAGTTGAATTTGAGTGATAAACTATCATGAGAGCAGAGGCAGTCTTATTTTTCGTGGTGTTCACATTATTTAGCACATACTGTTCATAGGTGTGAACCGAGTCAGTTCTAACTCATAATGATCCTGTATACAACAGAACACAACACTGCCTTCGTGGTGCAGCAGGTAGAGAGCATTGGGTTGCTGAGTGAAAGACCTGTGTTTCAAATCCCACCAGCCACTCTTCTGGAGAAAGATGAGGCAGTCTGCTTCTGTAAGATTTCCAGTCTCAGAAATCTTTTGGGGTAGCTCTACTTAGTTGCTGTCAGTTGGAGTGGACTCATTGATAGTGGGTTTTCTAGCACATAGCGGGTTCTGAATAAATTTTTGTTTAAATTGAATATAGAGATTTTTAAAAGTTCTATGGGATATCTCTGAAGTGTTAATTCTGTTGGAGGTGTGAGGAACAGGTCAGGGAGAGTTAGGAGAATTGTTTGAAGGGTAAGTAATATTTCATTAAGAGGAAGGGATGTCAGGAGCAAAGGACACAAATAGAGCCGTGAAAGACATCATGTATGTTGGGTTTTGTCAGTCTCCAGTGGTCAGGATGTGCTAGGATGGTGGCCAGTTAAATAGGTGTGTGCCTTATGCTTATGAGGTGAACTGTGTGCCCAGGTGTCTTTAAAAGCTAATCTGAAAGTGTTAGATGAGGGAAGGATGAGGATGGCATTTTAACCAGGAACCCAGATTTGTGCTGATAGTTGGTTATCAATGTTTATCATTTAATCAGTGGATTAAATGAATGGGAAGTCACTAGAGAAAGTTCTTTAAAATCAAATAGGAGGATTGATAGTTTTCTCAATTAACACTAATTTTCTATTTTACAAAATAAAGTAAGGAATAGTCAGGGATGAATACAGAATATGAGGTTTCAAAAAGTTGCTGGAAAAATTCCATTATCTTTGAATTCCACTTTTCCATGAATTTTTTGAAATCACCTTTGTATATGCACATATATTCTTAATATGTATGTTTTGTTGTCAGGTGCCGCCAAGTAGATTCTAAGTCATAGCCCCTATATATAGGGTTTCTAAGGCTCCAAATCTCTGAAATCCAAAAGCCTCTTCTTTCTCCTGAGGAGCAGTTGGTGGACTCCAACTGCTGACCTTGTGGTTAGCAGCCAAGTGCTTATCCTACAGAGCCACAGCATCCCCATGATGTATGTAATATGCTTTTTTATTGTGGTAGATATATATGTATCAAAACATTTTCCATGTATTACGTGTGATATTTGTGTTCATCATCACCATAATCCATTTGCAAATTTTTCCATCACTCTTAACTAAACAACGTATAATATGCTTTTTATGTGAAATTTATTTACTTTTTGGGCTGACAGAGTCACCTGAGAAACTATTTTGGCATTTAAAATAAATATTGGTAGGTTAGATTAGCAAATTTGGATAAAGAATTAGACTTTAAAATTTTATATTATACCTTGGGTCAGAAAGGTATAATAATAATTGTTGAATTGCTTGAAGTAGAAATTATTATGGAATTAACAGTAAATTCCCTGGATTCCTCTGTTCCTAAATTTGTCAAACAATCTAATGTCGGTCAAATTTTTGCCTTAATATAAAAAGGTCCTCCCAGATTATGAACAAGATCTGTTCCTAACTGTTGTGTGTCAGGGCTTCTCATGAGCCCTATTCAACTTCAGTCATGGCCAAGGAAGTATAACTGCAACAGACCCAAAGTGTTAAAAGTTACAATGAAGCGGAAAATGACATGTCAAAGCCTGGGTAGAAACTTACCCTCCCTGCTACAGAAGAACAACATTGGAACCATTGTATAGCAACCAAATCTCATGCTGTCAGATTTTGAGCACAGTGTAATCAGCGCTGCACTACTCAAAGAAGGTAGCACCCTGCTCAAACATGGCTGCCTAATCACTCAAGCACGGCAGCTGACCTCATTGCTTTAAATGTGTGGCACTCTAATACCGGCCTGCCAATAATCTAATCTCATGCATCACTTCCTGAAAGGATTCACTATGCCTCTCCTGAGTTTCCCATTCTAGAGTGTTGACCTGTAATTTGTCCTATTCTGGGTACTATGCCAAACTGCTAAATTCTAAAACTCTGGCCTTTTCCTGTTTTGCATTTGTTGGCCATGGCATCTTGTTTAAAGGCAAAGAAGGTGTAGTCTGTTTAAGAGGGAGGTTCATAACCTGGGGACTGCCTGTGTACTTTCTGTGCATTCAAAAATAAAAGAAGCTCTTTCAGAGACACTAAAAACATCTTTAATTTAGTAATACAGTAGTAATGTTTGATGGGTGTTGCAAAGTAGCTCCGGTTTGTTGTGACAAACTGAGGTATGTACCATGAATTTGTAATATAATAGGCATTACAGGGTTTTATGTAATATGTAAGTCATTTGTTCATACCCTAAACATTGCCTGTACTGATACTTTATCAGTATCAGTGGGGAACTACCAACATTTGAATGCAGTAAAAAATTGTTTCCATAAAAAGGAAAATGAACTACTTGTGATTGTGGGTTAGGCATTGGGCTGCTAACCTCAAGGTCAGTGGTTCAAATCCACTGGCAACTTAGCAGGAGAAATATGAGGTTGTCTGCTTCTGTAAAGGTTTACAGTCTCAGAAATGCTATGGAACAGTTCTACTCTGCCCTACAGGATCATTCAGACTTGGAATCAACTCAGTGGCAGTGGGTTTTTTTAGCCTTTAGTTTTGGAGTCATGGCAATGCAGATGTCAGGTGCTCAGCTGTTAAATGAAAGGTCAGTAGTTCAAACCCACTAACCACTTTGCGTGTAAAATGATGTAGGTATCTGCTTCTGTGAAGATTTGTTGTTGTTAAATGTCATCCAGTCAGTTTTGACTCATAGCTACCCTGTATTACAGTCTTGGAAACTAGGTTTTTCTACCATGTATGGGATAGTTCTGCCATGTGCTATAGTGTTGCTATGAGTCAGGCTTCAGCATGACCACAGTAGGTTTGGTTTTTGGAGTATTAATTTATTCTAAGAAAGACGAACATGGGTTATGTGTTTGTTGTTGTTAAGTGCCATCGAGTTGGTTCCGACCCATAGCGACCCTGTATAGGGTTTCCGAGGGTGTAAATCTTTACGGGAGTAGAAAGCCTCATCTTTCTCCCGCGGAGCAGCTGGTAGTTTCGAACCGCTGACCTTAAGGTTCTCAGCCTGATTCGTAACCACTACGCTACCAGAGCTCCTTATGTGTTTAGTAGACCTGAATTTGAGTCCAAGTTTTACCTCTTGCTCAATGCCTAATTTTAGATAGAATGCATTATTGCTATGAGCCTCAGTTTCTCCCTCTAGAAAATTTTTTTCATATTCCTATTACTGAATTTTCAGATTTTTGTAACTTTTTATGAGCCATATGCACTTGGTATTCTAGAGATAATTTCAGAGACTTGTTTGTGTTCCATCTTTTGTTGCTAGGATGGGATCAGTCAGATAAGTTTGTGAAAATCTACATCACCTTAACTGGAGTCCATCAAGTCCCCACTGAGAATGTGCAGGTGCATTTCACAGAGAGGTGAGTCCCTATCGGAATGGGGGGACAGGGATCAGATTGATCACTAAGAGCTAGATGTTGCCTTTGCACATACCTTTTTTCTTTGCATTTTGTAAAATTCTGCTAAAATTTAGTATTATTCATCACATTTACTCTGAAAGTGGAGGGATGTTTTGATACTATTTGGGTTAGCCAAATGCAGACCCCAAAATGAAATTGATAAACTTTTTTCCAAACAAACTACAATACACAGCACCTTTCATAGAACCAGAAAGATAATGTATTCATTATTGTGTTGTAGGTCATTTGATCTTCTGGTAAAGAACCTAAATGGGAAGAGTTACTCCATGATCGTTAACAACCTTTTGAAACCCATCTCTGTGGAAGGGAGTTCAAAAAAAGTGAGTTGTTTTGTTTTTGTGTTTTCCCCAGTCATGATATTGTGAAACATCATTAAAATAACCTAGCTAATTTGGAAATGTGATGAAGTACAGTGAACTTACAAAAACTTGACACCAGTTCTGCAGTTTCTACATGTACAATTTTGTGATATTGATTACATAGAGTGTGCAGCCAACCTCATCCTCCTTTCTAAGTTTCCTCCCCATTAACTGAAACTCACTGGCACTTAATATTCCTGTTTACTCTTGTAAGTTGTCAAGTTGAACTCATATAGATAGTTGTTAAAAGAGCATTGTGCTTACGGCAGACCCTTTTTACTAGTTAAGCTAAAGTGTTGTTTGGTTTTAAGATGGCCCCACGGGGGATATTTTTGGTATAAGGCTTAAAGATTCCCAGGTCAATATTGTCAGGCATTATGTGTACAATAAAGGACATCTTAGTACACTTAGTGAAGTTGGATTTAGTAAACGCCATAAAAATAATGACACAGTCTTAAAAAACTTGAACTTTTCACTAATTGAGACAGCCCTTCTTTCTGCCTGACTTAAATTATTGCTCTGGATAGCCAAGACATTTTGTTATCTGTTTATAGTTACAGAGCAACTATATGGTAATGAAAGAATGTAATTTATTGATTAGTATGTGTCTGACTGCACTTCACTATAATCCCACAGGTGAAAGAATAATCAAAAAATGCTCAAGAGTTACATGGATCATAGTTGCATTATATTTTCTTGCTTTTTTCACTTTCTCACCTTCGAAACATTGCCCCACACTGATCCGTTAAACATTATATATATACTCTCTTCTTTGATCATTGAAATCCAGCTAATTCTTTTAATTTCATGAACTCACCAAGATCATCCTACCTTGGGTCCCGCCCACTTTTTCATCTGCGCAGAATGCCTTTATAATCCCTTTATAATCCCAGATCTCAGCTCAGATTTTACCACAGAGAGACTTCTAATGCAGTCACTGCCCCTTCCCTACTGTACTCCATTTTTTCTTTATAGCACTTTATAATATTTGAAGGTAACCCTGAGTTTATTTATTATGCTCTTTCCCTTCCATGGGTGTTGATATTCTCCTTTAAAGTATTTCTAGACCTAGAACAGGTCCTACACTTAGTTACTTGAATAGATGCAGTGAAACTTGTAAAGGCAAAACTGTGCATGGCAGAAACTGGTCAGAGCAGGAAAACTTAGAGAGCGATAGAAAAGTGGCAAGACTGCATGCTGTGAAAGGCAGAATACTGGTGAGACCTGAATACACAGGGCAGGGCCATAGAGTTCCAGCTCTTTAGGTGTCATTGTAATTACTTTCTAAATTTGTTCTAAGTTGTACTCACTTACCCCATATTTTTCCAGGTCAAGACTGATACAGTCCTTATCTTGTGTAGAAAGAAAGCTGAAAACACACGGTGGGACTACCTGACTCGGGTTGAAAAAGAATGCAAAGAGAAAGAGTGAGTTTGCTTTCATTTCTGTATGAATTTCCATCTTTCTTTGGTAGGAGTGTAGGTTTTTCTTATTAGTTCGTCTTTATAGAGAATGTTGTTGTTGTCACGTGCCATCGAGTCGGAACCGACTCATTGCCACCCCATGCACAGCAGAACGAAACAATGTCTGATCCTGGGCCAACCTCACTACCGCTGCCACATCCATCTCGTTAGGGGTCTTCCCCTTTTTCTCTGACCCTCCACCTTACCCAGCATGACATCCTTCTCCAGGGACTGTTCCCTCTGGACAATATGTCCAAAGTAGGAGAGGCGAAGCTTAGCCATCCTGGCCTCCAAGGAGCACTCTGGCTGCACTTCTACCAAAACAGATCTATTGGTTCTTTT